CCTTGAAAAAAAAAAAAAATTTAAGTTTCATCTGCAAAACATGTTTATGACAAACTTTTGTGTTGTGAGATATGTACTTTCTAGCATAGAAATGAGACGAAAAAAGGAACACAAGCAAACACAGATCGTTTACGTGGTTCGATCCAACTGGATCTACGTCCACGGGAGGGAATCAATCAAATATTTCACTAAGGTAAAAGAAATGGAGAATACATAGCTTATACATAGAGATGAGCCCTCATCTTCCTTCTATGGCCTCCCTCTCAAGCGACACCTTGATACAAGGCCTCAAGATGCTCTCCTCCTCTCTAACTCTATTGCTATTCTCTCCTCTTTTGTGGTAGCTTAAGATCTCTTCCCCTTGCTCTCCTAGGTCTCACACCCTCTCTATTTATAGAAGCAAGAGTGGTAGGTGTGAGGTAGGTGGGAGGTAGGTGGGCGGTAGGTAAGCGGTAGGTGAGATGTGGTAGGTGGCGGTGTCTCACATTACAAAATTGCCCTTTTAACTTAATTCATTAATTGGGGGTCAAAATAACATGTAGTATCATGAATTACTGGACCTACCCCTCGGAAAGTATTCAACACCTAAACTTCAATTTTTACCTACATGCCACCTTTATTTATGAAAAGGTTTATTTCACTTTTTAAAAGGTAAAATGGTGGTTTTTTTTATGTGAGATGAAAGATTTGGGTGGTATAAATGTAATAATTAAAGTTTATCTGTTAGATATAAAAATACATAAGAATTATGTGTTAGTTTTAATATTTTCGTAATTATCTAATAGGGTATTCAGCTCTTGCGAATGCTTGAAGAGGTTTATCGTTTGTGCGCATATTAATGCCATTGCAAAAGATGCATATTTTAAAGAGAGCATTTGTGTAATATCATGGGGGGTTTGGCTCTTTTGAAGACTTCCGTAATAAGTTTTGGCTTTTTATAGCTTGGAAGCTTGGAAGTCGGCCAGCTAGTCTCTATTTTTGTCTGCTTCTTTTCATTGCATAGGATTCTCATCGCTTCAAGAACTTGATTTTAATAATGATGGAAAGCCAACAGTTCGTTGGATTTGCGTGTATTAATCAAGGAATTTATGTTTCAAATAAATTGTTCTGATGAAAGCTTTTCACACCGAATTCCCCTTTCATGGTTATCTGCTCAAGTTCTGCTGTGGATGTCAACATGCCATCCAAATAGGTTTCATGATAGTGTGCCACTCTGATCATACATCCTGTATATCAAAATGATGAAAATTTGGTAGAGATTTAAGGAGCTCATCAATCCCCCTCCCTATTACTTAACCTTTTATTCATCATTTTTCTTCTTTAATGTAATATCATATTTATTAAAATAGGGATAAATGCGTGGCAATTAAAACTCAGAAGGCACGCAGTTGTTGCTTCTTTGTACAGTTTTATGTCATGTCCAGGTTTGCCAAATTTAAGTAGCTTGCTTCCAAATTGCCAGCTTTACTACTACCTTATTTACCACTTTCTCAAAAGAATGGATTTCCTTATTTCAAATTGGGCCCAGAGAAAAATATATCTCACTTGCATCAAATCATATGATAATTCCACTACAAAATGCTATTAGGAATTCTCTCTAATTGTTCGAAGGTCCCTGAAATCTTTCAAGGCCCCATATAGCCCCAAAATAAATGAGCATTTATTATGTTTATTATTATTTTTTCAATATATCATTTTGTTGTATCATTATTTATACATGGTTAGTGGCTTGTTTGTGTATTTATTCGCTCCATAGGAAGTTTGTCATTGGTCTCATTATATTCCTTGCCAATTAGGGCGAGGACAATATGGCTAACTGTGGGCTTTTGTGGCGGGCCTGACCATTTACCAAGGCGCAAATTGTCAGTTTTACTAAATATAGCCTCCTGCTCTTTCTTTGCATGCCATGACTTTGGAACTACAACTTTGGGAATCATTTGCCATCACTGTTTTCTTTTTATATTTTTTGTTTTTATTTTCTTTTTTTATGTTCTGATTTTCTTTGAAGTATAACATGTTATTGTTAATATGACATCAACAAATTTTCATCATTTTGCACAAATTTTGATGCATGACACAAATCTCATGGTAAATTTTTTTTAGCGAGAAACATTGATTAAAAGTTGTTTAGAAGATTTAAACAAATTTAAAGTCAAACTAACCAGCTTGATAACACGGACCCAATGATATTAAACTTGGTCATATCCAAGTCAACTCAAGCTGATAAATTGCTTTAGTAAACTTTTGGTGCATAATTGGAATGCTAAACAAATTCCAAATATAACATGCTTATATTCAAATCCAACGAGCCTAAAATGACTCAATTTCGACATCATTAAGACAACTAAATGTTCATAGAAGACTGTCTGATCTAGGGAATTTTTCTTGACCGTCCGATTAAAGTGGTATGGATTCTCTTCTTATTTATAATCTCGACTCTATAAATGAAGCTTTATCCCCTCTTGAGAGGAGGATATAACCTAAGCCAGAGGAAGCCCAAATCTTGGAGAAGAGGAGTTGCAGTTCGACATTCTGCACCGACAATCCGAAGAACACTTTTTGCTTCTGCAGCTGCTGGCCAAAGTCGACAATCCGAAGAACACTTTTTGCTTCTGCAGCTGCTGACCAAAGTCGACCACCGCTCGTCGGGTCGACCACCATCGATCACCATCGATCGCCGCCCACTCCTAATGGTGAAACCCCATACGAAGCAACAATCGACACCACAAAATTATGTACCAACCTACAAAGGAGTGCATGTTGCTGAACGTCGGGTCGATCCCGAAAGTCGTGTATTTAGGCTCCAACAATTACTTCCCATTCTGAGCGCCCCTTAGTGTGGAGCAACAAGTTTTTCTGTGCATTAGCATTGCGACTTTAGAAGCTGTATAACACTTTCTTGCTTAAGAGATAATGAACTGTACTTATAATCACCAACTCATAGTGAAACCAACTCATAGAGGAACATTTCAATTGGTTGAGACCTTGTTTTCTTTTATATGAGTGTATGTATTCTCGTACGACGCTAAGCCTATAATTCTTTACTCTAACACCGCAATTCTTCTAGCACACATCAACTATGTTAACAATATGTTTTAATTTTTATTAAATATTGAGTAAATTGATTATGTGGTAACGGCGGACACTGACGACCGACGGTGGCTAGTTGCAGCGGGGAGGCAAGCAAGTGGATGATAGTGTTAGTTATTTTTAAAAATACTCAAAATATTTAAAAGTTATTCTCAGCTATTTTTTAATAATTTAATTTATTTTAAAAAATACATAAAAATATTGAATAAACTTTAAAAAAACTTAAAAAAAAAAAAAAACTCAAAGCAGACCTTTACCATAAGCCATAGTTGGTGCATCTGAAGTCTGAACCTAATGCTAGCCAAAGTTTAAAGCCATTTAGCCATGCTCCAGTGAGCCAGAGTTTGGGTTGGTGGTGTCTCAAGGCTTTGAAACGAGTTTAGCGGTTGAAGAGGTGGAAACTAGTACAATAAGCTTTTACCTTGGCTCCAGACTAGCACTCAATCAGCGGTACTATTTATTGCAGTATCTAGCCTTTTGCTTGTAGCGAGGAAATGATATTCATTTTTAAATATATTAAACAACAAAATGACATAAAAATAGTTAATCGTAGGTGACGATCCTTACATGTATTCAGAAAAGGTGTTCTTAAGATAATCTTGTCCTAATTAGCATCTTCTTAGCTCTTCATATCAGGCTTTTTCAAGATAGCTGAAAGGAGTAACGGTAAGAGGGATTAGGGTGGATTAATAGCAGAACGGCAGAAATGGAAAAAAAAAAAAAAAAAGCAAAAAATGAAGGAAGCAACATAACTCACTTGCCGTCCTTTATCAGCATTGGCAAGGTGACAGGCTGGGTAGCGCTTCAAAAACCACTTTTGCATTGAAGGGCATGTCCACTTCACCCAGGTTTCTTTAATCACACAGTACAGAGGGGAATGTGAGAGCATTCTACGCGTCGGCTTCATGGTTGAGCTCCCGCACCATCTTGGACTCATGTGATAAGTATTCTATCTCACAAATGGTGCTCTGTTGCAGACTTGAGGCCCTATTGTTTTGGTTATTTTCGTCTTTTTATTAATGCTCCTTGCAGGCTTTAATTATCCCATTACTCACTCCAACCTAAGCGGGCAATTTTGCCTTCAGCATGCAACCTTCCAGCTGTCTTACTTCAAAGAAGAAAGGGGTTTATGGCACCTAAAGTTATTTTGATGTTCATTTAATATGCCCTGTTTTCTGATCGCAAAACTACTTAAATCATACCTTATTCAAAATTTTACCGATTACAGTAAAGAAGTGTTAGTTAACGTCTTAACCTGGTCCCCTGAATCAAGATTGAAATCATGTAAGAAACTGGGTAGCTCTGGCTAAACATGATGTTTTGTTTTTGATTAATTTTTGAACTTGAAATGTGGATGTATTGTTGTTGGGAGGCACAAATAAGTTCCACCGAAATGGATTATATGGTACAAAAGTAGGAAGGAATTTGTCGAATGTTAACCGATGCTGATAAAATTATCTAAACAATTATTATTTTCCTCGTCATCAGTGAAAATTAAGCGAGATAAAAATAAAGTTTTTCCTTAATGATAATTATTAGAAGCTGGACTGTGAACCAGTCAGTAATGGAATAATTTTAAAGATGAATACTTGAGCATTCAATGATGGAAAAAGATTTAGTGGGGTCAAAGCATATGATAGTAGAGGTGATTACAGGCGTACATGTTCGTGCGAAAACCAAAATGGGGAGGCATCCCATTTCCCAGATGAGAATCAACGATGGGGAAGTGAGGAATAGAGGCGTTGGAGAATGAGCGACCTTAGGATCTTGGATCTTTTAAGGACAAGTGGGATGTAAGTGCATCTCAGCTGATTAGGACTTACGACACAGTCCCATTTGGATGTTGACCTCTCAAGAAGAGAGAGAGGGAGAGAGAGGCAAAAGGTTTTGAGGAGCTAAAGCAAAAGCATACGAAACGTTGGAAGTTAGCAGGGAGTAGGGAAAGGAGGATGAGGGCTTTAATGAAGCACTTAATGGGGGAATTGTAGGAAAGTCGGAATGTCATGTGAGCCTTCTGTCTTCTCTCTCTCTCTCTCTCGCTCTATTGACTTTAGCTATGTTCTCTTCAAAATCTGTTGTCCCTCTCATTCAGTTGCTGTCCTAATAGCCCCCATGGCTACTTTTTCTTTAAGACCCCCAAATTAATTTACTTTTCCTTTAAACCTCTCTGGCTCTGAGCTCTTGCTCCGGGATCTTTGCTTAGATTTTGTTTGGATTTTGTGTTTCCCACGTGAAGAACAATGCCCCACATTTAATTTTGGTGTTATTTGCTACTGTGGCAGAGGAAGCAGCAGCCTAGTCTCTATAGGTTCCTTGCATGAAATAAGCTCTTGCTTTTTCTTTCTTCTCTGTTCCTTCCTTTATTTGCTTTGGCAAAACTAGAGAGAGAG